CATCCACCATTTGTTTCCACCTTTTGGGGTCCCATGGCAAGCCGCCAGGCAGGGACTCGGCCCACCTCGAGCTCCTCACAACAGGAGCCAAGCCACAACTTCCTAGGTCATCCAGGTGGGCAGAATCATCCTGTGGGAAACAAGCCAAGTGGCTGTATAGCCTAAGTTGGTGATCACGGTTTGTGCAGATAACAGGTCTTGTACCAGTCTCACGGTGCAACTGCTGGTTGGACGCATGGTCCTGCCAACAGTATCCCATGATCCAGACCTCTTACAGGAGGCATCAAGACAAGACTCCAAGGCACAGGATAATGTCCAGGTTTCACTACCATATAGAAAAATTGTCATTATCAGGGCTTTGAAAACCAGTAGCTTGGTCCTTCTGCACAAGTACCAGCATCTCCAAATACTCTTGTCAAGAGAGTTCATGACCCCTGCTGCCAGGCCAATCTGCCTGCTGACTTCTTGGTCTGACAGCCCAGAGTTATGAACTACTCTCCCAAGGTATGTAAAGCTCTCTGCGACTTCAATATCCTCGCCACAAACACATACCAACCGAACAGGTTCTCCTAGTAAGTCCCCAAAGTCCTGGATCTTGGTCTTGGTCCAGGACACCTCTAGACCCAAGGGTTCTGCTTCATTACTAAATGCATCGAGAGCCACCACAAAGGATTCTAAAGATTCAGATAGAATAGCAACATCACCAGCAAAGTCAAGGTCTGTAACCTTGATATTGTCCAGTGTTGATCCACAATGACTTTGAACAGTAGCTCTGACCAGTATCCAGTCCATGCAAGTATTGAAAAGTGTTGCTGCAAGGACACAGCCTTGCCTCACTCCTGAATTAACAGGAAAGGTCGACAGGCCCCCACCACATTTTACAGCACTTTCAGTACCAGTGTACAGACTTGCTATTAGTCTAATAGTCCTTGTTGGAATTCCCCACAGTCTCAGGATCTCCCAGAGTGATTCCCCATGCACCGTATCAAATAGCTTCTTGAGGTCGATGTAGGCTGCAAGCAGCCCACACCCGAACTCACAACAACGCTCTACAATGACTGTCAGGGGGAACAGTACTGGACCGCCAGATGGTAGCCAGGACAACATGCAACCCACATGCCATAGGTTCACCACCAGCCTTTAACATTTCAGCTGGGATGCCGCAAATACCCCCTGCTGTGTCACTCTTCAGCTTGGAGATTGCCCCCCTAACTTAAGTTAGGAAGAGTGGATCCTCACTGATGGGTGTGTCCGGCATCGGAATCACAGCACTACCTGCATCCAAGTTAACTGTTGGTAGGTCAAACTAGTACAACTGCTCAAAATACTCAGGCCAAAACTCCCGCACCACAACAGCATCTGAGACGATCTGGCCACTTACTAAGCGAAAAGCTGTCACCTGAGAAGAGGGCTTACAGTTCAGCTTTCTCAGGACTTGGTATGTAGGACGAGGGTCATTTACTAAGAAATGGCCTTCGATCTCCTCAGCAGGACTCCTAATAAACTGTTCCTTGTCCCTTCTTAACAGAGACCGAGTTCTACGCACCTGAGAATGTTACAAATTCCGATCTCCTGTCAGGCGAGCCACTCGGCAAGCATCTGTGGCTTCCAGTGTCTCCTGTGAGATAAAATACTGTATTGTTCTCAGGCGTTCACTAATCGACTCTTGGGCTGCATCAAGCGTTTCACGCTTGAAGGTGTCCCACAGAAGTACAGGGTCCATCAGATTGTTTGAAACAAATAAATGGGCTAGACATCAAAGGTCATATAGCACTATGGTAAAGTATTGTGCCACAAAGGGCAAAGAAGAGTTAAAGATTATGATAAAATGTGTTAGATGTCAAAGGTTTGAGAGCGTTATAGGATAGTATGATGGTGCAAAGGGAAAAAGAGCAGCAAGTGAACTGGAGGAGAAATTAGTAGAAAGGGGAGGGTTAAGCAGGTAGGGCAAGTGAGTAAATTATAGTGTATCTGTCACTGGGGAAGGTATAGGAAAAATGTTCAAGGAAGAATAGAGATGGCTGTTGGAAAAGTAGAAGAACCCAGGGAGAGGGAAAGGTGCTAGATGTCAAAGATTTGAGGGTGCTATAGGAAAGTATGGTAATGAAAAGGGAAATGAGGGAAGTAAATGAAATAGAGTGTGGCTAAGTAAAGTGGGAAAGGTTAAGGAGGTAGAGCGATTGCACTGTATCTGTGACTGGGGAAAGAATAAGGATATTGTTCAATGATAATAGAGGTAGCTGTTGGAGAAGTAGCAGAAGAATTCGGGAGATGAGAAAGGGGGACTGGGGAAGGTGGTGAAGTATCATGAAAAATGTCTGGAGGGGAGGGGTCGGGAGAAGTATAGTATATAGATATAGTATACTATAAGAAGGACACTTGTGATAAAGGGGATTCATATGAATATTAAGTGGGAGCGTTAGAGAGTGTGGGAGGGAGTAGGACGAAGAAAGGGTGGAGGGAACTTGAGGGGGAGGAGGATGGATATCTGCAAATACTTTAAATGTAGAAGGAATAGGAACAGAGGGATTGAGGGGTAGATGGGGGAGAGGAGTCTTCCCTTGGGTCATCTTTAGAATGTTTTGGATGTCTTCAAAGGTTTCTAGTGGGGCTTGGGTGAAGAGGACTGAGAAATAAAGGTTCTCTTATGAGGAGAAGTGGAGATAGATATCTGAGGAACAGAAGAAGAGGAAGGTGTAGGAGAGGATGACGTAGGAAAGGATGGAGTGGAACATTTAGGTTGCCTGGTGCGACAAATAAAGTGAGGAGGCGGGATAGGTATTGGGGGAGTGGTAGAGACTGGAGTATCTGGATTTAGAATGGAAAATGAATATGACCAGGGGATAGGGTAAACAGACGTAGGATGTAGGTTTAGGATATAGGGAAGAGACACACAGGGAGATGTATAAATATCTTGTGAAGATGGTTGGGGAGCAGAGTGAAGAACTGTTTTGGAATAAGTTGAGAGAGAAAAACCTTGTCCTTCGAGCTTCTTGTCTGGCCTCATGTAGGGTGAGTCCTAGATTAAATCTGAGGACTGCTACCTCACATTTGAGCTTATAAGCAAGGCAGCTCCTATAAAATACATCATGGGAGTTTTAGTGGGTCAGGTATCAGTGGTTAAAATGACCTTCTTGCAAGTTTCTTGCAACAACAGTGAGGGTTCGAATCCTATCAGAGAGGATATATTGCTAATTTTTTATAACAGCCTATGAGATGCCACTCTGATTTATGTTCTAATGTCGTCTACTTATTTACCTGTCCTGACTGCCAAGTCAGGTACATGGGATCAACCTCACGATGGTTACACCACCGAATATTAGAACATAAAGGCAGATCATTTCGTACTTGGCTTCTGCTGAGCAGACCATCCTTCTCAGCCATAAGAGAACATTCCCATAATCACGCACATCCTTTCTCCAACACAGATTTCAATATACTATCCACTCACCCCTCACGACAAGATCTCATTATCTTGGAATCCTTACTAATTCATAAGATGAAACCCGAACTAAACAACTCGACGACTGCAACCATTACCAATTAGCTGTTTTCACACTTGGCTATCACTGTTATTGGTTAGTTTTATCCCTTACCATTTTTTCACTATGGTTATATTCTTACATGTTTTTTCGTCTTGTTCACTATTTTTGTTTTCCGTACATTTTCTCTTGTTCTCCTGTTTTTACGTATTTTTGTAAGTTCTGATCCCATGTTTAATTATGATTTTAAGAACCGTTTTATCTTTATTGTTATGTATAATTGCCTCTTTTTGGTTCATTATTACAGCATTGATAATGGAGAGTTGATTGATCTCCGAAATAAACAAATAAACATTAAATTGTTTACGACTGTCTTAGTCTACCTCTTCATACTGACTATTTGAAGCCTGAGTGGCAAACCCATAACGACATTTTATATATATATATATATATATATATATATATATATATATATATATATATATATATATATATATATATATATATATATATATATATATATATATATATATATATATATATATATATATTATATATATATATATATTATATATATTATATATTATATATATATTATATATATATATACATATATGCATATATATATATATATATATATATATATATATATATATATATATATATATATATATATATATATATATATATATATATATATATATATATATACATATATATACATATATATATATATATATATATATATATATATATATATATATATATATATATATATATATATATATATTATACATATTATATATATATTATATATACATATTTATATATACATATTTATATATACATATTTATATATATTTATATATATTTATATATATATATATATATATATATATTTATATATATATATTTATATATATTTATATTTATATATATATATATATATATATATATATATATATATATATATATATATATGTAATATACATGTTTTTTTGAAAAAACAAGACAAAACAAAAATAAAATCTATTTTCATATCTAGATTCCTTCAGCCACATCTTAAAGCTGTGTGAAATTAACACAAAACTAAAACTGCTATTCTAAAAGGCAACACAGAAAATAATACTTAGAAACCACTGTCAACACTTACATTGTCCTCTGACATCCCCTGCCGCCTCCATCCAATACCTGCCACAAAGGCCATGACTAGACATCCAAGAGCTCCAGCTCCTCCAAATTGCGCCTGTAAACACTATTAATGTTACATTTACTCATCAATATGGGGGAAGTCCCGTCACTGCCTTGCTTACACCCTAATTTATAAATATAGATATAAAGTACATTCCCAATAATCTATGCAGCAAAATCTACATACTAATCATATTCTGATAAAAGTTCTGATAAGCAGTCCACATATGCATATTTATGACAAAATGAAAATATTCATGTGCATAGTATAAAAGGAGCCTGTTAGTGTCAGGGAAAGTGTAAATAAACAAGATTTTCAATCTATAT